AACTCGATGCATCAGATCCCTTTTTCTGGTTTGTATCTTACTCGACAGTAATGCATGTTCTGCCTAGATCAGACCTCAAGAAGATTCTTAAAGTTCCGATCTACCTCACTGAAATAAATTCGATGCTTCGAACTGTTTTTTGAGGTCTATCTATCCTGCTGACGTCACCAGTCAGCCATGCACATGTTTCCAAGGAAAGTCAACCTCATCCGTAAGAGCGTATCCCCGCTCTTCCTCTAGTAAACCGAACCTTCAAAAGTCTGCTAGATTGGTCACGAGAAGCAAAACTCCGAGTCTGAAAAGAAATTCCTAAAGAAACGAAGACCCTCAGGGCCGTCATCACGGCACAGCACACCGTGTGCTTCGGCGGCAAGAAGATGTTCACTTGCAATTGCAAGTGGAATTGAGAGAGCAGCAGCCACATCACTGGAGGTGAGAGGACGGCCCAAGCCTTGCAAGCCAGTAAGACCTTGTAGCTGGGCGCACATCTGCATGGGCAACATGATGAGCATGATGCTGTTCTTGATGGCACAGCAAACACAGAAATTGCTATTGCGAAATACTGGCATGCACCCCCTTTTCCTTCATACAGCAAGGAAGCTCACCTGTTCATCTGTGTGAGAACTGGATTGCACCACCAAGACCCCAGAGGCAAATTGGCGGAAGCTGAGCTTGGAGGTTGTGGTAGGGAAGAGCTTCACAGCGGTCAGGATATCATCAGGAGATATGAGCTCTGCGCCCCTTGCCCGGTTGAACAGGCAATATGTGTCCGGGAGCGGCATCATACCCCCAGCCTTCTCAATGCGGGGTGTAAGGAAATCTGCCAACTGCAACAAACAGAATGTAAATGACCTTGCGTGAGCAGAGCACCCTGTAGATTGACACTGCAACTCAAATGCGATGCTGGAACCTGCCGGGCTCGATCAGGGGATGCTGAAGCTCCCTGCATTGCAGCCCGCACCTGCCGGGATAACTCGCGGTGGTAAAGAGCGCCAGCAGATGCTTTTGTGACAGGTGACGCAATGCCCATGCTGATGAGCTCTGCCTCCATGTCTGCATCCATCCAATCCGTGCCCTCAGATGTACCAGCCCTCTCTGCAAGCGCTTGCCTGAATCGCTCCGCCAGCTGCACCATGTCCCCTGCCTTCGCCATGAGACCCCTCAGGTCTGCAAACGCCTGCTCCAGCGTCCTGCTGGCCAGTCATAGCAGCTGATTGCTAATTGAGCAAAAAGCATGTGATTCTTGCCTTTCGCTGTGCATCTCATTCATGAAACACCCAAAGCATGCCCAGTTATGGAAAGCTTATGGGATGAACAAAATCAAAGTGCTTCAATCCAAAATTTGCTGCCGTAACCATGCCTGTCTGTGGTGGCAGCCAGCTGTTCCTCTCGTCTTAAGATGCCTGCCACTCCAGCACTCTGTGTTGAGAACGCGGCATGACGCTGCATGCTCTGTGGCGCAGCCTCCGTCCTCTGCTCTTGCTCGATGAGCCAATTTGCGGCCTCCTCCACCCCTGCTCACATGTGGCATGCCCTCAAGCATATCAATTAGCTGGTACAATCAGGCCTCGGCTCTCCATTGAGCCAGGTCAGTGTCACCTCCCAGTTCCATGGGGTCAAGTTGCATTGAGTAGGGTATATACCTGTATTGTGTGTTGCTGCCACAGCTCTCAGACTGCTATCACGGGCAAAGCGCATGCATATAAGTTGTTCAACAAGCGACTGACTCGCTAGAGAGTCCTGCAGGGGTGAAAAAGTGCCTGCACCAGTCTGCACAGAAAGGATATATCCCGGTGAGTCTCTGTGGGATACAATATCATAAACCTCCTGTGCAATCTTGATGTCAGTGTTGTGCTCCGCACCGTAAATGCTGGTGATGCGCTCTGTGCTTCCGTCTGCCTGGATGGGGTGTCCCATGCGCGACGAGAAAGAGCAACAAGCAGTTCTTCCACCAAGTGTGTCAAGGATTGCCTGCTCGTTAATTTCACCTGGGGCACACTCCCATTTTTCATCCCTCTGCAAGCCTGTGCTGTGTGACACATCAGAGTTTCCACATTTGTACCCACACAAGTGGAGGTTCACCTGTTCAGACTGCTGGCCACCCGGTCTTGGGCAGCCTTGTCCATCACACAGCACATGCATGCAAAGCTTGAGCGCTGCAAAAACATGAGATGCTCGCAATGATGCTTCTGTCACAGACGCTAGAGGAATCCTGCATGATCTGCCAGGAAGGCTGGATGCATCCACCCAAATTAGATAATGGCTCGACAGGACTGCATATCCGCCGGAGTACCTCTCTGCAAAACATCCTGGGACACCTCCCGGCTCTGTAAATTGCAGATCGACCTGCATCCAGATCAGGATCTGTGAATGATATCTGTGCGGTACACACAAGCGAACCTAAGGATGTGACCTGCGTACCTGATCCACAATAAGCAGCTCGACCTCACCCTGGCCTGAAAAAACCGGTCTCCCACTGTCGCTTAAGACAGCATTTTCAAGGATCATGGCAATTCAAGCGCTAGGTGACAATCTCGCTGCTGCATGGGAGACAGATCAGTGGCACGATTTTGACGCAGGCGAAAGAGCACATATCTCGTCGTCTCTTCTTTCCCTTCATATCATGAATTTCGTTCTTTGTTCGCATTCTTCTCCGAGGAGTTCTCGGATCTCGTCCAGACCTTCCCCAAAATTACTCAGTATCAGTCATGCATGCACATGTCCAAAGCCCAGGAGAACAGGAACAATTCCCTGAGGATACCGGTGTTGCGATCATTGCAGCACACCGAACTGTGCATAGTCAAGACTGGAAATCGCTGCTGTCAAAGGGCTCACCCTTTTCCGATCACTTCTTGATCACCTGGGATCGGGCACCCTCTTCCTGGCAGTCGCTTGTTTTCAATCAAGATCGGCACACCACTTCTTTGTGCACTTCTTTGTGCATTCATTGAATTCTGAAAGAGCTCCGAACGACTGTCATTACCTTGCACAATATTTTGCAAACCTGTCGTAGACAATCTTTAGAGATAGGATGGAAGTGAAGTACGAAGGATGCGATGAAACATTTCTTCAAGGAAAAATGCTTGTGCTACCAGCTGAGGGCATCGGCAATGTTGGCCAACTTGCGGTGAGGAGGAGGATAGAACGCTTCTCCTTGGGGTTGTAAGTTTCTGTGGGGAATTACTGACGCTGGGCTGTCTGCAGGTGGATTTGATCATCCACAACGCGCATTTGAAATGCATGGGGAGCCTGAGAGCCCACCACAGTGTGCTCCCATGCGTAGGAAACAATCCTTTTGCTGCCTCAGGCAGCATCTCCTCTGAGCTCCAAATCTTTGGAGAGTCTGATGCAACGTTCGTTGTCCTGCAACAGCGAGGGCCCATTGCCTTGGGCAGGTGATTACACAATCTCCCAGATGTCGAGGGCTTGTCAACTTTACTTCAGCTTGTGCGTTTGCTTGTCCCTTCTTGCTGCCGCTTCCGCTTCTGCCTGAGTGTTTGATCTTGCAGGCAAGCCACATTCGCCACCGCCCTCGCCAATTTCATCCAAGCGGTAGGATTTGGGAAGGTGAGGTCTTTTAATCATGTCTCACGCGTCAAAATATTCTGGGTGCTGATGTCCACATGGTAATTTGGTGCTTCAATGCTTTGTTGATCTACACTTGTGGATCAGGTCCTGATGCTTGGGAGCCTAGCTTCTGTTGAGGGAATGGGGCCAATCCACACTTCTGCATCAAAGATCAAGTGCTCATGTCCAGAGGCGTACAATTTGGCTGCATCGTCCTGGCAGGAGCTTGAGGTGGCCCCTCCTCCACATTGATTTTACTGCAAGATTCCTGGACAGCACTGGAGGAGCCAGTGTCAAACTCATTGTGTCCTTCATATACAGGACATGGATCCACACAAAGGCACCCCGTATGAAGACCAGCACCTTTCCCCTTTCCCTTTCTTCCGGGCAGCAAAAGCGCGCAGCTTGCCTGTATGTCTTCTCCTCATCCCTGTGAATGAGGTGAGACAAGCTTATCCCGTCATCATTCATGATATGTCATATTTGCCTGACCTTTGAAGATCTGCCTGAAAGCCTGCATGATGAAGGTTAGACACTACCAGAGTAGAGCATGTTGTGACTTGCTCGGAAAAGAACAGCTCTTTTCTCTGACCACTTGTTGAGCTGCTGCCTTCTTGCTCATGCAGGGTGATAATCTAATGGATTCCAAGGTGTTGGCCTCTGCGGCGGCAGACATACTAAAAAGGTGCATGAGCAGTCACCCCAGGATGGGTGATGGGATGGGATGGAATGTGCCTCCTTCCTGGGTCGTCTTTGGACAACAGCGAGTGGTTTATTAATGAAAGAGGACCTCTGGAAAACTTGAGTGAAGAGTGCAGAATACATGCAATCTGCTTCAGAAGCAAAACAGTGATGCCGGTAGACCCCATCATCATTGAATGGACTCGATTGGAAGTCCAGGATGCTGAGAATATCACACTGTCACAGTGGTCTTCAGTGGTAGCCTGACCCACTGAGGCAGGAGGCTACCTCGGAGGCCACGCAGGTTGCAGCTACATCGTGTGATCCCAGGCCGGTTAGAGGTCTAGTGGCAAACAACAGTTGTGGGATGCGTGTCTGTAGTATTGAAACATTTTATCAGCTGAATGCCAGTACACAACTTGCAGTGGCAACTTGTTGCATGATGTCATACTATGTACTATAGGCTCTAGTTGATGCTATCATGCAGTGCAAGTACCTGCATATCTAGCATGCTGCAATTGCGCAGTACGAATGCGCTAAAGGAAACTCAGGACGTGAAGTCGCGGGCTGTGCTTGAAGTCCTGTGTAATACGGATGGAGGAGGATCTGACAAAATTTTCGAATTCGAAGTTGCCGCGGATGTGTTGGACAGCGGCGTGCCCTCACACCTTAGGGTTCGAGAGGGAACGCCTCCTGCCACCCGAAATAGAATTCGAGTTGGGCAACAACCGAGATGTATGCAAATTGCTGCTCGTCTGCAAGATGACCTGTCCGGTAAACTACTTTTTACCTTCTAATACCTAAGCTGTGCTCCTAAGCTGGCGGCTTTGTTGTCTGTGCAATACTTCAGATCAGTGGAAGCGAGGGGAGATTGCTGGAGACGAAGCGTTGCAACGAGGAATCAGAATGACGCTAACAGTTGATGACATAAAAAAGTTGAAAGTACAGGTGACCGTCCAAACTCGTGTGACCGTGTCCTTGATATGTTTCATCAGTAAATTTCTCAAAGCAATCAACTCAGGTTCTGCAGTGTCTTTCCTACAGGAACTACGAGACGAATTGCAAAAGCGAAATTTGGATACCGGTGGACTGAAAGCGGCCCTGACAGAACGTTTGGAGGAGGCAGTGAAGGCTGACACACTTGCAGAACCTGATGCTGAACAAAACTCCACAGCCACGCTGACAAACGGATCTGCTTCTGGACAACCTGCAGTGGAGGCTCCTGCTGAAGAGAAGGTGGGTCACCTGCTTTGTCATATCATCAATCAGTCGTTTGCCTGAGTATGGGTCATACTATGTGATATACTATGTGATATATTTGCAGGTCAACGAAGGTCCGGCAGAGGCAGCAGCACAGACAGGAAAAATTGTTTTTGAAGATTCAAGTACTGCTGAATTGGAGAAGCGCAAAGCTCGGGCTGCTCGCTTTGGTGTGCCTCTCAACACGTCAGAAGACAAGAAGAAGGACCTGCGGGCGCAAAGGTGATGCATCCCAGGCCTCCTGGATATGAGCGCCTGTGAGGTAGTGGGGTACCAAGAGTTTTTAATCCATTCAATGTTGTGCCCACAGATTTGGCATCGCTGAGAATGCTGCGCCGGAGAAAAGGAAAGCCAGTGAGCCTATCGTGTCCAGCAAGGCAGCCTCAGAGGTGAGTATTTCTGTGGCAACTTTGCTGGACTGGCCACATTGGCTGCATTTGTTTACTCAACAGCCCTCTATAGAGCACTGTTATTGCGCAGGAGGAACTCGCTGCACTGCTTGAGAAGAAGAAGGCAAGAGCCGCTCGCTTCAATGTTCCCCTGGTGACCACTGGTAAAGAGGTATGCTGGAAACCTCACACTCACCATGCAAATTCTCTAATATTGGGTGTCCATTTATGTGACTGATCCTTCATGCAATGCTACAGGAGCAAGTTCGGCTAAAGGCTCGAGCTGAGCGGTTCAAGGTCCAAGTTCAAAGTGCACCTGGCGCAGAGGCTCCTTCTGCAAAAGACACACCTAAGACTGCCGCTGCAGCTGAGTTTGAGGCAAAAAAGAAGGTGTGATTATATAGAAATGGGATGTGCAAGTTTATGCAAGCTAGGCAGCTAAAATCTGATCCGTCTGCCTCGCTGCTTGCAGGACAGGGCTGAACGCTTCAAGGTAGCGGCATGAACTTCAGCCATGTTGATCTATCAAGCAGGAGTTTGCTGAGCAGCAAGAGAGATTTGACAGTCATGCATCTCCAACATGAAAGTCAGAGTCTGCAGCTCCCAAGCCATTAGTTGACCACCATGAAAATTTGATTGTGTCAACAGGGACGATTGTTGTCTTGAATTGTGTTGGGCAAGTAACACCAGCAGTTGCCTTGATGAAAACGATATTTAATATCATGTCCCAGCAATCATGAACTGCCGACAGGTCTGGACCATGCTACCATGAATAACTGTGTGAATGGAAGAAAAGGTACTCTATACTGACGGTGGCAAGGCCTAAGCACTAATAAGTAACAAATGCAATGTAACTTTGTGTTGTACAGGAACCATGTGGCCGCATTGGCGTGCATGACAGTCACTCTAGGCCTGAGTCTCATGACACACAAGCACGTGACTCAAGACACATGCATGCAGACAGTGAAAGAAGACAAGACTAGCAGAGACCTTTGTGGCAGCTGATCATCATGGATGATCCATCAGTAGTGCCTTTGCATGTGATACCGTGCCTAGAACGGGCCCTCAAGATTCTGCTGCACCCAGAGCTCGTTCTGGTTGTCGCTGCCGCGGAACTCGCCCTCTTCCTCCATTGCCAAGCGCACATACTCAGTACGCGCAAAGCGATCCCAGTCGGTCAGCGTTGGGTCCTCACGTTCCTGCATGCAATCAAGGTGCCAAAGGATCGCCTGTGGCCTCCCTCTGCATGCAGGTTTCTATGACATCTGCCCAGTGCAGGCTCCAGCACCCCCGCAGCCGCTTACAAAGATTCAATGTATGATGGTGATGATTTCGCAGCGACGTGTTTCGCAAAGGCTCCCACTGCCAGCAGACAGGACGAATGCAGTACTGATACGAATGACTCCAACCTGGAATCTGCCAGAAGATCAAGAGCACACCTGGCGAACCACGAAGGGGTCTCGTGTCTCAAAGGCAATGAACTTGTTGAGGTTGAAGAGGATGTTGAAGAGGATGCCGGCCAAACTCTTCTGTCGCTTAAGGTCCTGCAGCGTGAACACGCCCTCTGCCTCTGGCTGCACCATGTCGTGCATCTGACACAGCACGTCCTCGAAAAGAACGGGCTCCTGGCTCAGACACTCCATGCGGTGAAGCTGCTCCTCATAGAAGTACTGTTACAGAAAGCACGGTGCCTTAGCAGTCCTGTGGCTACAAAAAAGCCATCGACATGAAACTTTGAGGCAACAGCGTTCTTTCCTGGGAATGCAGCATACCAGCATCTCATTGGCTCGCAGGCAGCCGTCGCAGTCCAGGTCAATGCACTTGAACCAGTAGTCTAGACTAATGTTATTTGTCTTATCCTCCTCGCTAAGAATAAAATACACAAAGTCCTCGTATCCCATCTTACCCTCAACCTTGCTGGCAAAAGGGCGGGCTGCCTTCAATACACAACATTACCAAGTCAATCGGGCAGAGTTGCATACAACTACAAGGAGCAGCTCTGCACCATGCCAACAGGTTTGTACTTTCCTTCAATGCAGATCAAGTCAGGTGAGTGCTCAAGACCCCGTGCAGGTACTGCACAAGTCAATGTCAGAACGAAACTGCCATCTGACCTGGGAGAAGATGCGATCAACAATGCGGTAAGTCAAAGAATGATTTCCATATCGCAACAAGTCTTCCTTGCAGATAAAGAAGTCATGGTCGGCGTCCAGCTCCCAGAACTGAGTGAATGCACAGCAGACATGTGATCAAACCCAGTATGCGAAGCACACATATGCCTCTCTATAGTGTAAACACAGTACCTAATAGACCTGCCACAGATTGGAAAGTAAGCCTGCCGCACCTTGCAGTAGATCACATAAAAATGCTCGTAAGAAAAGTACTTGAGCACTTTGTTGACATCATCCTCTTTGTCCAACAGTATGAGTGCACTCAGGAGATCTCCCCTGGCAAAAGGTATCAGATCGTTAGCACGATGCAAACACATAAAAGCAACGCCTCATGAGCAACCATATTTACCTTTTCAGGTCTCGCAATGTGATCCGTCCCAGTCCAGATCTGTCGAGGTTGTAAAAAATGCGCAGGATAACCGTCTCCGCATATCGCTCCTGGAACTCGGGAGTGTCTTGCAGAAACTCTAGCCCTGGATGACTCAACAAGATCCCTGCCAGCATGTGCTTGAGATCCGACTGCACCACATAGTCGCATCCCCCCGTGCGCAGGATGTCGAACATCCTCACCACTGGCTCAACCTGCAAAGCACTCAATCCTTGGGGCCACATGGCACCACAGCACAAGACATACTAGAGCAGACCTGGCAACTCGTTCTTGTGATCCAGGAACGGACCAGACACCAAACCGTGCCTCTTGAAGCCGTACCTGCATTACGTTCTGCTGCACAATATAGGATCGCACAGCATGCACTGGGACAGTGGATGCTCCGGGCTGTGCGAATTTGTAGAAAAGAGGATATGCCAGGGCAGTTGGCAGCTGGAACACCTGGAAAAGCCAACCCAGTCAGCACCTTCTTCAATGCTCTGCCTGATCAAGGAATAATCCTTACGCCCCGCAAACAGCATGGGTCAGGTTCTCAATGGCCTACGGGACTCACCTCCTTTATGATGTCTTTGACATGAGGGATCGTGAACCCGTCTGGGGGAGGCGAAGCAAAGCAATGGTCCAGCTTGTTCTGCATGTCTCTCTGCACCATGTCTGGTATGCGCGGGCCCCCGGGGAAAAAGAACTGAGGAATCTCTGCGACGTCCTTCGACTGCGGGATCATCAGTGAGGACTTGCATAATTTGCTCGAGAGATTAAGACAGGGATGTTCCATGGCTCTGTTTGCATCAGTCTCGTGCTCCCATTCCCTCTGAGTGAAGCCATAATACCTGTTTCTGGAGAACAGAAGCGGAGGGCGGCCTGGTCGGTGAACTCTCTGAGCGCGGGGACTGCGCCTTCTGCGGTGAGAGAGGGGGCTGCACGACGGAAAACAATGCCTGCTGTCAGCCGCGGGAAAAAAAAAGGGGATAAATGTAGTAATATAGCCTGTGACTTTCTCGGAGGAAGTCACAGGCTGCGAGAGGGGCCTCACAATGGAAATCGCGAAGAGGGCTGTGGCAGAAGGTGGTGAAAGTGGGGAGCTCGGCACTGGCACCGATGGCGGTGTGTATGAACCCACACGGCCATTCTTTGCGTCATCGAGCAGCGACAGGACCTGTGACCACCAGGTGAGGGTCAGCAAAGGCTGGCCTTGTCATCCAGATGTGACACTTCAGCAGACCCACATTGCAGGACAGGAGGCTGTACACTGATTATCAGATCATGCTTAAAGAGGAGTACCGGCACAGCAACCATTAAAACTTGACAAAGAAGTTTACCAGTTTCTGTGTCTCCTGAAGAGAAAGCCAATGCAAAAAAAGGTTGTCTAACTTTAACTTTGAACAAGGAAAGCGTGCATGGACAGTGTCACCAAGGGGTGCAGAAAATTTCATGGCTGATCCCCTCAGCTAAAAACAACCCGCACAAATGTTGGGTGCACGCTAAACCAACGGAGCGCGCAAAATTTGGTACACGCTGATGTATGGCAAGCAAATATCCAGATATACTTTTAGAGTGCGGAAGACAAGTTGCTATTAATCCATTTGCTTTTTACAGGATGCAGCTCAGCTTTTCACCGCGGGTCCCTTTATACATCACCGACCCTAATGATGCAAGCCCTCGTGGGAATTGCATTGCGAAGGAAGAAAATGCCCTAAAGCCGACTTTGAGATCTTCGGCAAGCTCAGAATGCCCAGCTTCCTTCGGACTTTCTGGTCTAGTGACAGAAGATAAAGTTGCAGGAACTAATTTGGCTGAATGCGACGTCATGAGTGCAATAATGGAATCAGCCGTTGGTGAAAGATCGTGAGAAAATTTTCGACGTGGTGACGTCTATGTCAGCTGGGCAAACGATTGTCAGCTGGGACATGCGCTACCCTGCAGCGTTCACATACAACCCTCAAAACAGTAGAGAGTCCGCGTCACAACATGCACAGCTCAACATGAAGCTCGCGCAAGTAGTCGTGAAGTTTACGTCGTCCCTCAGCAGCACTGGCACCGGAACTCTCTCCCAAATCTGGTTGCCTTCTATTTCTGAAGATGGCAGCGTCGTGCTGGGCACTCAGGTCTGAAGCCCAGTGCCGACATCTGGAGTGCCAAAGGGATTTTTGGTTTCAAGTGTTTCAAAGTGCTGAGGAAAGATGTCTTGAACGCGCTTCCTGGTGCGTATTTGTCCTTGTGATCAGAGAATATTCCTGTGCATTGCTGCATCTGATGGCTTGTCGTGTTGTGCAGGGAGTGCCATTCTCTGTGTCTGGGACAGTGGACCTACTGGCACTATTCAGATGCATATCTTGCCGCTTCAAGTTCACAACCGATGTGACAGACCCGAGCAACATGGTGGGTGTCAGGAAGATATGTTTGTTTGCACTTGCCTTGCAATGTGGCTGCGAAGCTGAGACATGTTCTTGTGGTTGCAGGGGGTTGTTGGTAGAGTATTTGCTTCCGGGGAGGTGTGCCTTTCATCACATCACATCTTTACCTCTGGACCCTGGAATCCAGAGGGACTTGAACATCTCATATCAAATGCCCTCAGGCTCATTCCTTCAATAATGCTGGTTTATGTTACTACACGTCTCTGGGGTCCACAGGACACATGGAATTGACTTGTTTGCTCCTGCTGCAGCCGGAGTTCAGTCACAATGTGCAGACATACAGCAAAAGCGTCTACCTGCGGGTGTCCGACGCACAGCGATGTCGGGTTCACAGCACCATGCTGCTCCCCATGTACATGGATCCACAGCGCGACCATCCGTTTGCGGTGTTTGAAGTGTGCCAAACTGAGAAGAACGTCCTCTTTCCATCGTTGGTTGACCTCTTCCAGCGCTGCTTGGAGGTGAGAACTGCCTGACGATGTGTTCTGCGTTCTGCGCAATGCCAGGAGGTTGCATGTTTTTGTCTCGTAGCCTGGCATCCTTCCCAATGTGGTTTTGCGGTGGCAGGACGTGAATCTGTACACGGTGGACATCGAGAAGCACTCCATGGGCATTGGGCTCCGGTGCTGGCCCTCAAGCCTGGACTATACAGGCAAAGATTCTGCCAGCGTGGCAACATTTGCGCCTGAGGCAGCTGCTTGCACTGACATGGAGACACTATGCAGTGCCGACAGCCTGCAGAGGCTGAAGGCTGCCTCTGTCAATGGTGCCACCGACGTTCATGGCGAGGAAGTGCTCAGGGCCAGCAGCGGGGTAGGTTCGCTTCTACTGTTACAATGACACACTACGCACATAAGACGTCTTGGTCTTCAAGTCATGGATCACGTTATGCTGCAAAGTGCCCCGAACAGGCGAAGGGGGAGAAGACGGCGGACAGTGAGGACAAGGGAGGCAAAGCGGGTCCGGCAATGCCAATCACCAACACTAGCCAGCTCCCCACGCCCTTTCAAGATCCACAGTCGCAGCAGGGTGGCAGTCACCTCACCTCATACGGGATCCCGTCTCAGAAACAAGGTCTCACACCCCCCACTGTTCTCGGCATCAGTTATTCTGTTGGTGGACAAAATCGTTCCTCTTCACACCAGTGATGACGGTCGGATGACGTTGTATTGAAGCAATGACTGTGTTTGCAAAGGAGGTGGTAAGAGCGAGGGGATGGCGCGCCTTGTCAGCGTGGGCAACCGCCTGGAGCTCGACCTGGAGCCCTTGCTGATGACGTCCAAGGGTGGAGGAGGAGGAGGAGGAGGGAATTGGTATGCTCTCTGTTGTCCTTTCAGAGGCCATGCACAAGGGAGTTCGCTGCTTTTGGGGGTGATGCTTTGGGAAGTGATAGTTTACAGGCTGGCATTCACATTCTTGTGTATTTGACAGCGGCCTTGAGTCCGGGACACAAGGGAGCGAAGCCCTCGGGAGCAGAAGACCTCCCATGCGGCTTGAAGTGGGTTTGCCGGCTGCTGCCGCAGCCTTGCTAAACGGGTTTGATGGCGACAAAGCGCGCTTGAAAGGGCAGCTCTCGTCCTTCGGATTACAATACGCTGCAGTGCCTCCACGAGACATGGTCCTGCCTGGGGCTGCAGCAGGCCTGGATGCCATGGCTTGGGGACCTGGCAGCGCCTCTGACGGGCTTGCTTTCTGTGACGAGGAGGACGACGACCCTTCTCAGCCAGACAGCAGTACTCAGGAGGCCAGCTTCAACAACCGTGTTGGGGGTGGCGCGGGAAAGCGCCTCTCCCTGCAAGAACTTCAGGCATGCATCCCTATTTGTGTAATCTTTGCATTGTTCACTGCATCGTCCGCAAACCTTGCCAGTTAATTCATGGATGTTAATCCAGGAACATATTTGGAAGAGCATGGTTGATTGCCCTGTGCAGGCGCAATTCGGAGTGGGTCTCAGGGAGGCAGCCGCCAACCTGCGCATCTGCCCGACCACTCTCAAGCGAGCATGCAGGAGGCATGGCATCACGAGGTGGCCCCGGCGGCAGCTCGCAAAGCTGAACCGAAGCGAGGGCTCCAAGAGCGACGGCTCTGGGGACCTGCCCAATATCAAGGTGGAGGGGTCGTATAGGTCTGCAGCGCGCTTGTCCGGCCAGCAACCGGCAGTCAGCAGCGCCGCCAGTCCTCGCACATCAGCCCAGCTCGGTAGGCTCCTTCGCGTGTCTCATCCTCTCCCTGTGGTTCATGTGACAACTCCAAAAGCCTTGAGGCACCTGGAGACGTTCCAGCAACGTTGGTGTGACACACCTGCTGCTTCTCTGCAGGGGCTGAACGCAGAGAAGGCGTGACCACACGCTCATTCAGCGCAGCAACAAGCGCTGGACGCCCAGCAGCGCCGTCGGGCTCGTCGCCTGGCATCTTTTCTCCTCTGGACTTTCCCCCCGACATGCAGCAACAACCCTTCTACCTCAGCGGCAATCCCAGCAGCACCGGTATCTTGGACCTCTTTCAGAGCATTGGCCCGTCAGGCTCTGCTGGCATGGTGCAGCAGGGTCACGGTGGCCATGGTGGTCCTATACTCCATCCAGATGATATGCTATGGTAGCAAGCCGCCAGGGACATGCCAAAGGGTGCTATTCCTCTGTGAACCAGGCGTTCTCAAATTTTTGGCTGCACAGCCTACCTTTATGAGCGTGTTGTAGTGAGAGCGATACAGCTCTTGATGATTTTTTGCATCCTTGTCCCCTGCAATTGCTTTCCATCAGCCGCATGGGTCTGCTGGGTTGTAAGGGCCTAGCAACTGCTTGCAAGAGGAGCTCGATCCTGATTCAACTGACGACCACACTGTCTAGTACACTGTCTAGTAATTAATGATGTTGATGACACATAGTAACTGGCTCAAGGCAGCAAGTCTCCTACTGTGAGCATGGGGCTCCTTTCATTGGATGACATATGCACGACCCAGACGTGAACATTTCATTTGACGAGAGAGTGAGCTTGAAGGTGTGCATAGCAGCTGCAGCTGTTAGACTTAGACTATTCTTCCTGCATGCACACCTCAGCAGATATAGCAACATTCCTGGCATTGAGCATGGTGAAGAAGTATGCCAAAATGTCCACATCCTTGTGATATGGATACTAGAACTGCTGCCTAATCTCTATTGGACTCTGGTCCTTATCTGTACAGATCTCTAGAGCATTGCTTTGGGTGTTGCATGGCATAGCTGCCTGGTCAGCTACAAAATGAGTTGTTGCAGCCCTTGCTGTGGTGGTATCATGTGACCTGAGTACTATGCTGATGTCGTTGTCAAGAATGCTTTGATCAATTGATCTCACCAGCAGTGTGATTGAATTTCAGTGGCACTGATCCCAGCTGGCCAGGATGCACGGGATGAAGAGATCATCTAGAATCTGGTGACCGGTGCACCGGTGCACGTGCCAATGGTGTCACTGACTGGCAGTGACCAGGGCAAAAGTAACTACCCGCAAAGTTTGTGATTGCCAAGACTCAAATTCTTAAGCTTATAGTATCCATGGAAGCTTTTAAATCAGATATACTGCCAGGTGGCTACACAGGAAAGCACCGCACAATTGGTTTGAGCCTTCTTCATGAGGTAATCACTTCAGTTGGCTAGCAACTGCAGTACTGGCAATTGCAGCTTACACGCTTAAGGAGCTAAATGATCAATTTGTTGACACCAGTGGTCTTCATGACATGCACATGCAGGGAGCACCGTCCCAAAGAAGCTACTTCCAGTTTCAATGGAGTGGGGCTCTAAGAGCTGCAAATCCCCTTCCAAATCTGCATGCATGTGAAATCCTGATCTGGCAACTGCCGCCGCAATGACCAGAGTCATCACTGGCTTGATGAGATGGGTCAGAGTGTGACAGACGCTAATTTTCATGGCAAGACAAAGATAAAATTGATTTCGGACAAGCGAAGTTGCACGTCGATAAGAAGAATTGTGCTTATTATCTGACACAATGTCCAAGAGAAAAGGTGAGGAAGCTGTGTTTTTGCCAGACATTCCTTGTACACAGGTAGTCTCAATTTTGGATTGTTTATGACACGACATTCGAGGATTAATATTAGATAATCAGTATTTCGCAAGCGCAGTTGAAGACCTCAGCGTCGATGACTTCTTAGAAGGGAGCTTTTTGGATGTCACTGGAGACAATGAAACGAGAAAACAAAAGAGGATGTCTGCGAGTAAGCACGGTACGGTGTTGTGCTCTTTCAATCTCAAAAGAAAGCGTTCTTATCATTATCTGCTCACAGGACTGCTTTCGCCGTTGCATCACTGTCTACCAACCTTTGTATGTCTGTGTCACAGATGATCAAACGTTGAAAAGGAGTGCAAGGAGACGTGGAAATGACAATGGGTCCACCAGAGCCTCTTTCAAGGCCAGTGGTCCTCGGTCTACTTTGTGGCTTGGTTTACTATGCATAAGATGCATCAACAAGGTGGGGTCGGTTACTGGTCTTGTGAATTTGCTGCTGTGTTGTGTCCAGGATGATCTGGAGGCATTGCAGGAACGGGACCCGGAATTCTATAATTACCTAAAACAGACAGATAGCGGACTGCTGGACTTCAAAGAAGATGACAGTGATGAAGAGGAGGCAGGAGGGACTTCAGAAAGCATTCAGGTGTGATGGTGTGCTGTATCTGAGGACAGCTTCCTGGAGCAGCGTATAGCCTCAATGAAGACCTCCAACTTTCCCTCTTGCAGGACGGTGAGGAAGAGGAAAGAGGGAACGAGCGCTTGCCAGTGATAGAGAGCGGAGCCGCTGAAGAGCAGCTTGAAGGTGGGTTGATGAGGCTCTGTCCACAAAGTTTTGGTTTGCAGAATTCTTTGACCTGCTGTTGTCAACATTGCTGCTGACAGTGCACATTGTTCTGCAGATCAGGAGATCTTGACACCTAAAACTCTTGATGCATGGTGCTTAGAGGCCACGCAACATGCATCCTTGCGCGCAATGCGCAAGCTTCTCAAGGTGACGATAGCTTTGGTTTGCCCTGTGTGGATGCTGACCTTATTCCAGTCCGTGTGGCAACTGTTTTGCATCGTTCTTGCCATAGTTTCATGTTGAGACCGTTTTGGTGCAATACTGCGATACAGGTGTTTCGGGTGGCCTGCCATTATGGCGATTCAGAGGCGGAGGTGCACGAGACCCTGCGGGCGACCAGTAGCTCTGTCTTTAACAAGCTGCTGATCTTCATGCTGAAGGAGGTGATGTGGCTTCCGCACTTCCATTTTATTTTTTGTGCCGACATGGTGTGGAATGGCGATTGAGAGGCTCTGGCCTGCCTTGAGCAGGCGGATGGCATCTTCAGGAACTTGCTGGACTTACCAGACGATGCCGCAATTCTCAGCAGCTCCTTCAAGAAGACGAAAAGGTGATCATGCCTTCCCCGTCTATGGCTCCTTGGTCAACTAGGCAAAATGCAAGGCAGTCATGCAGCAGAGATTGCGTCATGTTGGTATCACTTTTGTAAGTGGACCTTGAAAACATGATGCAGGTGGCACAAGGTGGAACCGCTGCTTAAATCATACTTGGGCAATTCTCTGCATCTTTTGGGTACATCCTGATCTTCAATTGCGTTTCCCTTTATGAAGTCACCGTCTTTCCTAAATCAAGTTGATCACTCTGCAGCATTCTGGGTGTGGCTTCTGAGCTTCAGGAACGTGCATACGGTGCCCTGACCAAATGGGTTCCAATCTGCTCAGGGCATGCAATGTCGAGTGGCATGCTGGTATTCATCCTGCGGAAGCTGAGGACCTCCATCCCATTCATGGGCTATTTCCAGCGCCTGCAGCGCAAATACATGCGGCAGGCCATCAGCATCTTCAGCACCAATGAAGCTGCGCCCCGAGTGCAGGCGCTGGTGTTTGTCCGCCAGATGGCTGTGATGCTCCCAGAGCCTGCCATGGACCAGGCCGTGAAGGTGAGTGCAAATGCAATCATTTGACAGTTCTCCAATACATGCTACATGCTACAAGGCTGTGTCAAGGTGGCTGCTTCTCCTGCCTCCAAACCCAATCCATTTGCTGCTCAGCCCGTCTGTGTTCTGTGGCAGGGTGTGTACCGCGCATTCGTGCGAAACGCCAAGTTCATGAGCCCGTCTTCCGTCCCTCACGTTGCCTTTCTAGGCAGCTGTGTCCGGAGAGCCAGAGCGTTGGCGCAAGCTTACAGAAGACCACCCTGCCCAGGGCTTTAGGCTATCAATAGTTTTCCAGTGATCCTCCGATGTTTCTGTCTCACCGGCAGCCCCAACAATCCCCTTGGCCTGTCATCCGTGGCCTTCTGCCTTAGTGTCTGTCCTCCTCACCATTCACAGTAGTTCATTGAAGGCTATCTGAAGGGTTTAGGGTTTCCAACCCCAGTATCCACCCTTGAACCTGAGCGGGTGTCTAGGACCTTGGACATGATGCCTCCTGCCTATCCCCGCCTCCAATGTGGTGGGTGTGTGTATCTGGTCGAGTTCTCACCAGCCTACCTGTTTTTCGCCTCATTTGCGGCTTCATATCTCCCATATGCCACCGTTTGCTTGTGCCCCACCTTGCTGGCAGATTGAGGCATAGTTTAGGGTCACATTGCCAGCCCCGAGCGGCACCTAGTGGTAATGGGTCCGAACGCGATCCTGTTCCATCCCTGTCGGCCAACCGTATAAACGTGCCTTTCATGTCTGTTCCACCACTGGTTGCCCGCACATCCATAATTGCCTGCCAGTGATTGATGATTGCCTGCTTTGCTGTGACCCCTGCCTCCAGCTGCAAGCCCTAGGCTTGCCCCGTGGGTCCTCCAACGTCACCTCAGCGGTGTTGCGTTGCCGGCGGGCTGGAGTGCGCCTCTGGGGATGAGGTTACCCTCTGGTGCTTGGGACATGTCCATCGCTAGGAGCCTTTCTGTTGCCTTTCTGTGGTATGCCTTCATGCTTGCGCTTCTCTTCAGTATCGCATTATCCTCCTGCGGGAGTGCTCTGCGTGCCCCAACTCTGACAGGTTTCCCCAAATATCCTATTGCATGCGTGCTGGGAAGCGTGCGACTGGCACCTGTGTAATAGCGGGGGCTTCCCCTTTTAAAAAAAAAAAAAAAAAACACCCCGGCGGCGAGAGGGCAGATGATGAAGACATGGGTGAGTGTGGCCAGCTGACCTGCACAGCTCGGATGCGGGCAAACGTGACCGGCGGGATCGGCGCGGTGGACGTGACGCGCGAAGCCGCCGACGAAGAGCTGGCCATGCAGCAGCCTCCACGCTGTCACGCGCTGCCGCCGGTCCAGATGGGAAGCGTGCACCACTTGCCACACATGAGCCCAAGGTGCTGATGGGTCTGCTGTGACAGCAGCAGCAGGATCAACAGTGACATCTGCTCCCTGTGGCACTGGTGAAGGGCCCGCTGGCGCGCCCGCAGGCCCGCCGCGGTCCCGCAGCGGAACCGGACGGGGTTGCGGCGCAGCCATCCAGATCGCCCAGGAGGAGGGATCAGGCTGCCCTCGAGGCCTCTTGCCTAAGACCTGCGACGCGGTACCAGCAGCTGCAGCCCTGGCCTCCCATCGCGCCTCGAGCGCCCGAAGGCCGCTGCGCTGGTCATCTGTGGTATCAGCCCAGATGGCTGGTCGCAGCGGGCCCGCCGGGCTGGCCTCCCCCTTGCTGATCCTGTGAAGCACCTGTCGCCGCGCGGTGGCCTCCCTCACCACAAACTCATGTGCCGGCCGCGTGCCGAGCCCCCAAGCCTGAGGGTCCTGTACCTGGGATCCCCAGAGGCCAAAGAAGTATAGTGTGGGCGGCGGTGGTGGCGGTGGCTCCGGCAGCTGCTGCTCCCACTCCAACTGCTCCCCTGGCTGCTGCTCCACCTGCAGGTGCTGCTCTGGGTGCAGCTGCTCCGCGTGCTGGCGCTGCTGACGTGTGCCGCTGCGTGGATGCCAGGGCCTGGTGATGTCCCAGTGCTGAACCAATGCAGGCTGCGCGGCCGGAGGAAGGAAGGCGTGCATGGCTGCAACGCCTCCGTCCACTGGCACAAGGGCTCCTGTGCTGCTTACTGTGTGGCTGAGAAGGTAGGTGCTACCTTCGGCTGTGCGAGACCAGACGCGGCGATCCGACGGGTCCGGAGATGCGCACCACATAGCGGCCGGTGGCTGCACCTGGATTAGCGCTCTCCAGGCTGCTGGCAAGGCAGCCAGAAGGATGGGCACGCGCTCTCGCACCATCCGAACCGGATGCTCCGGGCCGCGCACGACATCGCGCAGGTGGCTGATCCTGACCAGGCCAAGCCTGGCCCAGTCCTCCCAGGCAAAGGGCTGCCTGACTGCATCCGTGAGCTGCCTGTTGAAGAACAGTGGCTCACCCATGACTGCGTCGTAGCCGATCGCTTCCGGCTTCCGCAGGTGATGGGGCCGCAGCTGCTGGTAGGCATGCAGGTACTGCCGTACGCGCTGCGGGGCCTCCACATGCTTCGCTGCAAAGGTGGAGAAGAGCAGGAATCTTCCCAGCTGCCAGATGTGCTGCCGCCGCGCTGACACCGTGCCGGGTTCCTGCGCTGCCAGCCAGGCTGTGCTCCTGTACAGCCAGTGGTCGAAGTAGGCCTTCCAGGCCAGCTGTTCCGGCTCCAACAGCCTGCCCACCACCTTGGCCTGGAGAGCCAGGATCTGGGCCTTGATGTCCACCAGCGCGATGCCGCCGTGTGCGGCCGCGCGGAAGCAGACGTCCTTGCTTGGGAACAGCGCCGCCGCTGCGCCAGGGGTCACCGGCCGGTTCGCCGCGACGAAAGTGTGGATGGCTCTGCAGAGCCTCTGTAGCAAGTCTTGTGGCACCGGTATGAAGGTGGCATGGTAGGTGACCATGGAGGCCAGCACCTGCTTTGCTGTGACCCCTGCCTCCAGCTGCAAGCCCTAGGCTTGCCCCGTGGGTCCTCCAACGTCACCTCAGCGGTGTTGCGTTGCCGGCGGGCTGGAGTGCGCCTCTGGGGATGAGGTTACCCTCTGGTGCTTGGGACATGTCCATCGCTAGGAGCCTTTCTGTTGCCTTTCTGTGGTATGCCTTCATGCTTGCGCTTCTCTTAAGTATCGCATTATCCTCCTGCGGGAGTGCTCTGCGTGCCCCAACTCTGACAGGTTTCCCCAAATATCCTATTGCATGCGTGCTGGGAAGCGTGCGACTGGCACCTGTGTAATAGCGGGGGCTTCCCCTTTTAAAAAAAAAAAAAAAAGCGTCATTGAGACAGCTCAACCAGTCCCACCCCAGTATTCCAACCCCAGTATCCACCTTTGAACCTGAGCGGGTGTCTAGGACCTTGGACATGATGCCTCCTGCCTATCCCCGCCTCCGATGTGGTTGGGTGTGTGTATCTGGTCGAGTTCTCACCAGCCTACCTGTTTTTCGCCTCATTTGCGGCTTCATATCTCCCATATGCCACCGTTTGCTTGTGCCCCACCTTGCTGGCATAGTTTAGGGTCACATTGCCAGCCCCGAGCGGCACCTAGTGGTAATGGGTCCGAACGCGATCCTGTTCCATCCCTGTCGGCCAACCGTATAAACGTGCCTTTCATGTCTGTTCCACCACTGGTTGCCCGCACATCCATAATTGCCTGCCAGTGATTGATGATTGCCTGCTTTGCTGTGACCCCTGCCTCCAGCTGCAAGCCCTAGGCTTGCCCCGTGGGTCCTCCAACGTCACCTCAGCGGTGTTGCGTTGCCGGCGGGCTGGAGTGCGCCTCTGGGGATGAGGTTACCCTCTGGTGCTTGGGACATGTCCATCGCTAGGAGCCTTTCTGTTGCCTTTCTGTGGTATGCCTTCATGCTTGCGCTTCTCTTCAGTATCGCATTATCCTCCTGCGGGAGTGCTCTGCGTGCCCCAACTCTGACAGGTTTCCCCAAATATCCTATTGCATGCGTGCTGGGAAGCGTGCGACTGGCACCTGTGTAATAGCGGGGGCTTCCCCTTTTAAAAAAAAAAAAAAAAAAAAAAAAAAACGGCAAGCTCTTCGTGGGCGCCTTCATACAACACATCCGCCGCGCAGATCCAGCAGGACACAGCTTCCCGCATAGCGGCTGCGAGAGACAGCCCGCCACACTCACCCACGTCTTCATCACTTGCCCCTTGGCAGCGAGAGTGTGGGACTGGCATGCAGCGACATGGGCAGCCGTCAAAGGGGAGACCGCGCCGCCTCGCAGCATAGACCTGCTGCTGGCAGATGACACCAGGGTGTGGGAGCCGCCGCGGCAACTCAGGCCTCTCTGGCAGCGCCTCCGCTCAGCTATTAGGCTATCAATAGTTTTCCAGTGATCCTCCGATGTTTCTGTCTCACCAGCAGCCCCAACAATCCCCTTGGCCTGTCATCCGTGGCCTTCTGCCTTAGTGTCTGTCCTCCTCACCATTCACAGTAGTTCATTGAAGGCTATCTGAAGGGTTTAGGGTTTCCAACCCCAGTATCCACCCTTGAACCTGAGCGGGTGTCTAGGACCTTGGACATGATGCCTCCTGCCTATCCCCGCCTCCAATGTGGTGGGTGTGTGTATCTGGTCGAGTTCTCACCAGCCTACCTGTTTTTCGCCTCATTTGCGGCTTCATATCTCCCATATGCCACCGTTTGCTTGTGCCCCACCTTGCTGGCAGATTGAGGCATAGTTTAGGGTCACATTGCCAGCCCCGAGCGGCACCTAGTGGTAATGGGTCCGAACGCGATCCTGTTCCATCCCTGTCGGCCAACCGTATAAACGTGCCTTTCATGTCTGTTCCACCACTGGTTGCCCGCACATCCATAATTGCCTGCCAGTGATTGATGATTGCCTGCTTTGCTGTGACCCCTGCCTCCAGCTGCAAGCCCTAGGCTTGCCCCGTGGGTCCTCCAACGTCACCTCAGCGGTGTTGCGTTGCCGGCGGGCTGGAGTGCGCCTCTGGGGATGAGGTTACCCTCTGGTGCTTGGGACATGTCCATCGCTAGGAGCCTTTCTGTTGCCTTTCTGTGGTA